TTTGGCAAGATCTCAGTGGGACACTTGGGTCCATATAGCAACATCTTTACATGGGTCATATCAGGTGAAGTGGATTCAGAGTGAGAGTGGAGGACTTGATTTACATTCACTTTTAAAGCGGGTCTTGAACCCCAGGCAGGCGGCCAACTCTCTTTCTGCTCTCTCTCTTAATGTCCCTCACCCTTTTTCTCTTATCGTGCAGGCAGAGTCGGCAGTGAGGTACCACTCCAGCTTCTTGCCCACTGGCAACAGCAGTCCTCTTGTGGGCGGCATCAGACCCCAGAGAACTGTACGCTCCTCAGCTAGCTACACGCTGGGCCTGTCTCCTAACATGGGACTGAGGCCCAATGGGCCTGACCCCTTCCTCAGACACTCTGGATGCCCCAATCCTCCCTACCCCCGGCAAGACAGCCCTTCCCAACCTCGGCCCTCCCCTACAGGCTCACTAGCCACCAGTCCTCCAGGCACCTGCTCCCCTGCCTTTAGACCCCCACAACATCCTTCCCCCAGACCACCACCAGACCCACCCAAAGTGACCCATGAACAGTTCAAGGCGGCTCTGCAGATGGTGGTAGACAAGGGTGATCCACGGTCTTACCTAGAGAACTTTGTGAAGATTGGGGAGGGCTCAACGGGGGTGGTGTGTATTGCTACAGAAAAGCACAGTGGCAGGCAGGTGGCGGTGAAGATGATGGACCTGCGGCGGCAACAGAGGAGAGAACTGCTCTTTAACGAGGTACGGTGTCCAACTAGGTACAAAGTTATTACCACAAACAATTGCAACACAAATCACCAACACAATGCATTTAAGGTTACAGCAACAAATTTGAGGATTCAAGTGTGCTATTCTTTGCAGTCTTTAAAGGATAATTCCAGTTTATTTCAACCTGCCGTATTTCACATAAATGTGGCTATTGTGCCTCTATTGGTCATGCTGACTTTGCAACCGTTGCCTCCGTTGTAAAGAATCTGGGAAACAAACAATGTATATCAGGGCAAGCTACATACCCCTCCGACAGCTTTCCAAATAAAAATGAATTCTACATGAATCATTACAAATGCTTGTTTCAGAGTCTGACTGAAACAAACATGAAATATTTACTTAAAGGGATACTCCGATGATTTTACGTTACGTTTGCTCATCGGTAGCCAGGAGTACTAAAACAGATGCATAATTTCTTCTTTGGCTTTGGAGGGAACTCTCTAATCCTGATCAGGGTTACCTTGGCTTAGGCCTGGAGACATTGAAAGACATGGGTGTTTACCAGGGAGGATCTCTAATGAAAGACACTATTGAGTTGGGTAGTTGGGAGCCTGATCCATACTAAAGAGTAAAAGTCAGGATATCTTGGCCTCTGCAGCAACAGTTTCGACTATTCTTTTTTAAACTGTCCCTCACAAGTTCCCTAACTTTATGGAAATGCTACATTAAATAGCTTGAGTATCTTTTTAATATCGGAAATATTGGTTATGTCTCCAAAACATTTGGGTTCTAACATAAATGTTTTGTGCTGTAGGTGGTCATCATGAGGGACTATCAGCACAGGAATGTGGTGGAGATGTTTAAGTCAGCTCTGGTAGAGGAGGAACTGTGGGTTATCATGGAGTACCTGCAGGGTGGAGCACTGACCAACATTGTGTCCGAGACCAGGTACGAGCACCACAGAGAGATCATCTCGGTTCCTGCATTGGTGCATTCTGTTTAGTTATGATATCATCTTTAATAACTGAATCAACCACAAGGGGGTAGTGTGGTATTGACTGGTGAGTGATCAGTGTTGATGCCAGCAGCACAAAGACTCACAAAGACTGTCATTCAGCCCCCTCTCTCACTCCAAGCCAACTGATTTTCTCTGGGAAAAAGTAATAATTTAATAAGATAATCGAATATGTGCATGTTAAGATGCCATGTGGAAAGTTCATTTTGGTTGAAAATTTGATTTCCCGATGCTGTTTAGTGGCACATGCATCAAAAATAAGGAAAACATATCGACCAGCAGAAGGGAGTTGAATTTTGTTAGGGTGTATTTGCTATAGGCTGTCATTGTATTTTATATTATTAACAGATGGCTGGCTCGATCTCCGTGGAATGACCTCAGGGTTAGATCACTTGACTCAAAGGGATAAAACAATTTCTCTCAAGCCGGATTACATGTAAAATGAGCCAGCTGTCATAGCCACTGTTTGTCAAACACTATGATGAT